GTGGCAGGTGGTGAGGGTAGGGGATGGAATACAAATTCCATTGCCGAACTTAGGAACATGGTGAGGCAATGTTGGGCAGTTTTTCCAAGTTTTCAGTTGGGCTCAAAGGGTGAATCAGTTTGGAATATGGTCTGCAAGTGCTAGTACTCATTTTTATTTGCCCAGACTGCTACACTGTCAGGGTTCCAAACTTGGTTTTATCCTGAACTGCTTTGGGCAAGTTTCTCAAATTTATCTGTTTCTAAATATGTATGATGGAAATAGATGGGAAGAATAAATTACAGTGATCTCTTGTGCTGCGTGGGTGGCACAGCTGATCATAGTGTATGGTATATTCTAAAATGATGAAAATATCTTTTAATGTTCTCATGACAAAGGATGGGTTGATGCACAGTTAACTTGATTGAATCATTTTATTCTGTATATCAAAATATATAACATGATGCCGTATAAATAGTGTTTCTGTTAAAAGGCGTTTTCCAATACACAGTGAGCTCTTAGAGGTTACCTGATAGTATATGAGTAAATGATGTAAATCACTGTCCAGGATATACTTTCAAGTTTTTATAGTTGTCACTAATTGGAAGAAGTCAATGAACAAGGCAGAAATTGACTTTGTAGATGTCAAAATGTGTTATTTGGACATGTTTGGAATGTAGTTATCTGCAGGCAGTAACGTGCTATCTCACTTGCAAATTATGGGAAGCTTTCCTACCTAATACAGCCTCCAGTATGTTTTCTTTGTCCCTGAAATACCTCTAAGCCTCTTCTCAACATACATATTCAATTTTTGCCAGTTATTTACTTAGTACTAGTTTTGTAAGCCTGGTTAGATGCTAAGCAGATTGACGTGAGGAATTCTACTGACTTGACCTCTTTCATGCCTGCAGAAGTGGGGCAGAGGAATGAGCTATGTACACTTGCCGAATGGACCTGTAGCATAGGTAGACAAGTCAGAAATACTAATATAGTCAATGAAAAAGCAGTATAGTTTTTTAAACCAGAGGGGCTCTGGGACTCGTACCCAGGTCTTCATTTCCATTGCCTGGTGCAAGAGGATTGTGGTGAGGGAGACGGTGTTGATTGGCGTCCCAAAGGTAAAGACATCAATATCAGAGTCCTTGTAGGTCTGCAGAGGAGAAAAAGATGTGCATTGTGAGGTGTGCTCAGGAAGGCACGAATGCAAAGTATCATCAAAGATATGTGTGGAGAGAAGAAACCGGCGCAGCACAAATGTGCAGGTACTAGCTTTGGGGAACTGATAGAGGAGCACACGGAAGGCCAATGGCAAACACAGCCTGGCAGGGGAGAGAATTGTAGATTGGGAAGGATGAAGATAGCTGTCTATCCTAGCCAACAGTAGGTAAGGTTCACATTTGACTTGGTGGGAATTAGTCTATGTGGAACCTGTGTTAAGTGTGCAATATGCCTGTGGTCTCAGTAATTTAAGCTGGATAGCAGGGCTAGGACTGGTAACCTTTGCTCTCAGGTAACTGCTCTTTATGAAAGTTATCTCTGGCTTTTCCGAACTTTTTGCTTTGAAGTTAGAGGGATACGTTAGATTGTAAAATCAAACACTTGTAGTGACCATGCTGCAAAACAGTACATGTGCAAATACAGCCAGGTATGGGACAAACAGGTGTAGTAGACACCCAGTGTCATAACATCTTGATTGTGAAAGGTGACCAGAAAGTAAGGTAATTATTCAAAGACCCTGGGTTAGATGTGACCTGCGGATCATCGCATTGAAATGTCCAGAAAGGCATAACCAGGCCTACATGCAATGTACCTGGTTGCAGTGTGACCACAACTTACCAGGTAAGGAACAAAGAAACAGACGAGGCTTTGGTAGACTGCATCCATGATCGTAATCCAGAACGTCAGTGGATTGTAGCACTGCCAGGAGAGAGCATACCCTTGATGACTGTTACTGAAGTGAACTCTGTTGTTTGCAAGCAGTTGTTTCTGTGTGTGGCTAGGGATGACAAGAAGGGACCTACAGCGTCTGTTACCTCAGGTGGTCAGAAAAGAGTGAATGGAGAACATACAGGTGGGAGTGTTGGACTTTAACTCCCAGCTCTTTCTCACTGGGCGACCTTAGGAATTAAGTGGGGGCAGCATGTAGAACGGGTAAAGCCACCACTTGGGACCTGTGCATCCCATTCGTAGATCTCACATTGGTGTGCTGGGTTTGAGTTCTGACCATGCTAGTTGCAATCACGCTTTCTGATAATGGGCTTTGGAGAGTTGTCGATGATGGCCCGAAATGTACACCTCTACGGACTGGGGAGATGCTGATAGTTCTCACTGGGCTTCAGCTAGGGCATCCAGAGAGCTGCCTGGCTTCAGCGTGGTTTAGCTCTGGCTGTTACAAATAGGCAGTAAAAAGGTGGATGGAAAATGTTTCCTTGTGTGCTTTCCGTATAAGCAAGGCAGTCTTCATAAAAATTCTGGATACTAGTGTTTTTCTTACAATTGGTTTTTCCCCAAAATTTATGTAACTGTGGCTCAAGAGAATTAATGTAACTGGGCCTTAATACTTAGTACTATTATCATGTTCTCTCTACTCTTGCTATTGTACACTTGTTAAAATGTAGATCCCTGGCATATCCCATACGCAGCCAGGATCAAGGCTTCCCAGAGACAGAGCTCAGTGGCTTTCGTGCGAAGTCTTCTTACTTGGTGGCTTTTACCTTAACTTGTTCTGGATTCCTACAGAGGTAGAGATAAAGAGTTCCCCCATGACCGACTCCCAAATGCCTGCAGTGGGGCAGGGAAGCAGTAAGGCTGAAGGCAGGATTTGGGAACTCAATCCAGGTGACGGAAACCAAGCTATGTGAAGCATCGCGGTTGCCTGCCAAGATCTGCATCACTAGGAAGCTCAGGGTGCTGTTTGCCTCCCGTGTTAGAAAACGTGGGCTCAAATATATTAAGTAGTATTGTAACTGCTAGGCTTAACACCTGGCACTGACTTTGTTTTTGCCACACTGATGCTTTTTAATGGTACATGTTTCAGTAATAGACTATGTATATCTTGTAGTATATAGCTAGGATGCCTATGGGAAGGGTACAGTAAGAAGCTAACTTAGATACATAGAACTGTCTTGTCTCCTTTGTCCCTCTACTTGGCTGCTGCCTTACTCACTCCTTCAGGCTTTGGATTATTACTGGGCTTGGTTCTCCGAAGGCCCTAAGTTACAGGTACACACTAGTAATTAGTCCGAGTGGCTCTCAGCCTGGGGTCTGCTGGGAGGGATGAAATAAAATAAAATCTCTTTACCAGGATAATGCCATATTAATTTGAGACATAAATAGATAGTCACTGGTCTGCTGCAACATCCTCAGTACCAAATGACAAATATAGCAGAAAAGTATTGTATGTGAGGAAACTGCAGAACCTGAGGGCAGGGTTTCTCTTTTCTCTGTCTGTCCCCCTCCCTTCCTTCCTCTCTCCACTCTTTCTCTGGTTTCCACTCTTTCTGTCTGGTTCTTTCTGTCTGTCAGATTCTGTCTTTCTGTCTGGTAGCAGTCGCTGAGGAGAGGCCTGAGTGAACTGGAACTACACAGTAAGTAAGTCTTTCTGGTTCGTTCGTTCTTTCTTTCTGACTGGTAGCAGTCACTGAGGAGAGGCCTGAGTGAAGTGGAACTACACAAGTTCTACTCAGGTTTTTTTTAAAGATTTTCTTTCTTTCTTTCTTTTCTTTCTTTTCTTTCTTTTCTTTCTTTTCTTTCTTTTCTTTCTTTCTTTCTTTCTTTCTTTCTTTCTTTCTTTCTTTCTTTCTTTCTTTCTTTCTTTCTTTCTTTCTTTCTTTCTTTCTTTCTTTCTTTCTTTCTTTCTTTCTTTCTTTCTTTCTTTCTTCTTTCTTTCTTTCTTTCTTTCTTTCTTTCTTTCTTCTTTCTTTCTTTCTTTCTTTCTTTCTTTCTTTCTTTCTTTCTTTCTTTCTTTCTTTCTTTCTTTCTTTCTTTCTTCTTTCTTTCTTTCTTTCTTTCTTTCTTTCTTTCTTTCTTTCTTTCTTTCTTTCTTTCTTTCTTTCTTTCTTTCTTTCTTTCTTTCTTTCTTTCTTTCTTTCTTTCTTTCTTTCTTTCTTTCTTTCTTTCTTTCTTTCTTTCTTTCTTTCTTTCTTTCTTTCTTTCTTTCTTTCTTTCTTTCTTTCTTTCTTCTTTCTTTCTTTCTTTCTTTCTTTCTTTCTTTCTTTCTTTCTTTCTTTCTTTCTTTCTTTCTTTTCTTTCTTTCTTTCTTTCTTTCTTTCTTTCTTTCTTTCTTTCTTTCTTTCTTTCTTTCTTTCTTTCTTTCTTTCTTTCTTTCTTTCTTTCTTTCTTTCTTCTTTCTTTCTTTCTTTCTTTCTTTCTTTCTTTTCTTTCTTTCTTTTCTTTCTTTCTTTCTTTCTTTCTTTTCTTTCTTTCTTTCTTTCTTTCTTTCTTTCTTTCTTTCTTTCTTTCTTTCTTTCTTTCTTTCTTTCTTTCTTTTCTTTCTTTCTTTCTTTCTTTCTTTCTTTCTTTCTTTCTTTCTTTCTTTCTTTCTTTCTTTCTTTCTTTCTTTCTTTCTTTCTTTCTTTCTTTCTTTCTTTCTTTCTTCTTTCTTTCTTTCTTTCTTTCTTTCTTTCTTTCTTTCTTCTTCTTTCTTTCTTTCTTTCTTTCTTTCTTTCTTTCTTTCTTTCTTTCTTTCTTTCTTTCTTTCTTTCCCTACCAACCACGCTGTCTTCCTTCTCTCTCCCCCCCCCCCCCCCCCCCCCCAATCGCACTTACCTCATGCTTCTGCCTACTGTTGTGCACCTCTTGCACAGTAGCTTCTCTGTGTCCCTACACATGCCAACAAGCAACCTTCAGCATCTTAGCTTCTCAGAACAGACGCAATGGAGAACAGACAAGTCGGAATGTTGGGCTTTAACTCCCAGCTCTTTCTCAATGTGTGACCTTAGCAATTAAGTGGCGGCAGCATTCCGACCATGCTACTGCACTCAACTAGCACTTACCTCACACTTCTGCCCACTCTGGTACAGCTCGGGCAATGCCAACAGTGTTTCTGCAGACACATCTTTATCCAGGATTCCAAACAGGAGAGGGGGCACGGACGTAAAGAAGAGATTGAAGAATATCATCTGCCAGTAGTCGATCATGGTGGAGCCAGTGAAGCCACAGAAGAACTGATACCAGAAGAGCAGCATGACATAGCACTGCACACACAGAACAGCCCTGGTAAGTAAGCAGCATGTCTCAGATTGGATGCCTGGAAGAAACTCCAGTGTTGAACTCCACAGTCAATTCAATGTTCACATTTCACAGCATGCAGGCTTTTAATACTCTCTGAAATTGGTTTCAGATGTGGAAGACATCGCAGTTCTTCACCTTCTAACTGCAACGAACAGACAATGAATACCTACCGGGGCGGCTGGAGCATCAGGCCAAAAACGTCATCGGCACTTTGAAAGCGTGGCTGCATGGAACCGTTCAAATTTAAAGCTGAGAAGAGGCAGTGCTTATTCAAAAGAATCTTTGCATGCTCCCCCCCACCCCAATTAAGCAGGCATATTTTGCATTCTAAGTAAAAAAACCTCTCAGAGTGCGTGTCTAGTCAACTAGACTGACTTGTTCCCATAGACTTGCTGAGAGAATATTACCATCCACTTGATTGAATTTACGTTATTATTTGTCATACTGTTTACTTAGATACATTGAACTTTGACAGACTGTCTCACTCCTCAGCTAGGGTGACTCGCATGGCTGGAATGGCAAACCGGGACAAACCGGGACAGCAAGAAACTCAACTAATAAATAAAATGCTACGTTGTAGGCACCCTTAACTGCTGTGTTTCTCTATTATTACCCTGGGTTTTACACAAACAAGAATCAGATGATATTTGGAGGCTCTTGGGCATTATATAGAACTAGAGTGCATAACTCATTCCTATATTTCCTTAAGACAGTAATACTCTGTAACCATCATTAACCATGGATTGTTCTAACAACACAGACACCACTCTGTTTCTCACCCCAACACCGTCTTTGCAACACAACACCATTTCCAAGGCACACAGTACGTTAATAGACATATGGAGGATTGCCTCCCTGTTCTTGTTGATGAACAAACTGGGACTCAGAGAAAGCTAACCAGAGATGCGTCACTCACACAACAACACCAACAACACCTGCAAGAACTTTCAGCAAGGAGATGTGCTGCTGCCAAGATATTCAGTTCTGGCGTAGAAGTCTTACATTAGTTACACACCTTTACCTCCCCCCATCCAAGCCCTGGGGTACAGCTCTGCCTTGGGAGCAGCTGTCCAGAGAGGAAGCCTAAGATCATATATATTCAAATCTGTTTCCTAATAACCAAAAAATAAAGCCGGGGGGGGTTGCGTATTTCTGCTACTGCTTAGCATACCATTTCAGATGCCCAACATCCTCTGCAGGAGGGCCTAGGCTGGATGTCCAGCTCCTGACTCCAGCTTGCTGTAAGGCAGGCATGAGGGCACAAACAAATGCATTCCTGCCACCCAAATAGGACCCTTGAATTGAGTTAATCAATTCAGGCCCCATTTTCTTAGTGTCATCTGTAGATGGAACCATTGGACAAATCTGATGCAGAATGGTTTGGAAAACTATGCATTCTCCCCACAAAATGTACAATTCCACAGCTTAAGCATCCCACATGTATAAAAACATACCATTACTGCCTCCACTTTACACATGGTAAAATGGAAGTTTGGCAGATATTTCCACATATGGAAATATTACAGTGGAAACAGTATATCTGAGTCCTGAGTTCCTGCTCATAACCCCTCCTGCTGCCTGCTATTTGTCCAATAGTTCTCATACAGTATCACCCTTTCTTACATTTTCATGAAAATAAACTATCATCCCTTTTTCTCTTAAGGAAACTAAAGCCCAGAGAATTAAGTTGTTCACCCAAGATCACAGAGCTATTAAAACAGTTTCTACATCCAAACATGCAGGTCAGCCTGACTCATTCTCTGTGCTGTCCCCAGGGCCAGGACCTGCAAGACCTGCGGGGGCAGCAGGGGGTGTTGCTGCAGGGCCACTCACCACGTTCTTATAGAAGAAGTACACCACCATTCTGGCCAAGCGTGAATAGCACCAGTGGCCGTGGACGAGCAGCAACTTCTTGAGGTACCTGAAGCGGGAGATGGCGAAGTCACTGGACATGACAGCCTGGAAGGGAGGAGAATTGTGAGCTTTCATCACAGCCATCAGTGTGACCTGCAGAGTTCCCTTGGGGGGTGATTCTTAATTACAGGTACACAGCTGGAAACGTCCCTAAGACCCTTGATTCTCCGTGACTCTGGGTTCTGATGCCCTCATCTACCTTTTGGGGAAATGCAAATCTCACTAGGATGCCAGGAATACAGACAGAGATAAAGGGTATAGTCTGGTTGATCATCTCCAACCACTTATCCTATAACCATTTATTGCAACCTGCTATGTGTCAAACCCCATGTCACAGATAAAATTCACCAGACAACAGGGGATTCTGTTCCGGTATTTCTCAAACTCCCAACACACTTCACTGCCTCATGGGACAGCTTATTTGAGCTAAAGCTTGGCTAGCTCTACCTCTACCTGCAGCTGAAATGTGTTGTTTGAACTTGGGATTACTGAGAATGAGATACGGTTTACAGTGCTGTCTTAAGAGCAGCAGGCAGGTCTAGGTGTATCCGGTTATAGATGTGGGTATGATTCATCAGCAGGGGATTTCAACTCCCTAAATCTGATCTCATATCTGAAAACAATGAGTTACCAATGCCCAACACACAGGGGCAGGGTGATTATTAACCTCCCTGATAGAATGACTATGAAATGCCTCACACAGTGCTCGGACGTGACACTCAGAGGCAACACAAAACTATTTCTTGGGTTCATGGTCAGTGCTCCTTTATCCTCATGAACAAATTGAGACAATGCCAACAGTTCCACACAAGTGCTGAGAATGCAACTGTTACAAATTCTAAAGCCAACAAAATAGGGTGGGTTCTTTTAACAGGAAAAGTTAGCAGGTCAAGTTACTATGCTTCTTCTAAGCTGAAACTTTGCTAAATTGGGTATACCATGAAAGTGTACCAAGCAATATATGAGTCATTCTGCTCGTGAAGACTCCAATAGCAGTTGACAAATGTTTTCATATGCCATTATATCTGTCACTGCTTACCAACAGCAACACACCTTGGTATATCGGTGGCGGTCACACATAGGAAATGTGGACTCGAAGGCACGCTTGTACCTCCCTGAATGACTAACTACGATTTGATTCTAGACTACAGATATTTCCAGAGTCCTTGAAAGAGTAAGGCATCCCGTAATCTCATTTTGTATTACAAAAAAAAAAATAATAACACAGTACCAGCACTGTGTTGTTGGAGGATGCTTGAAGGCATCTCAGAAGAAAATTCTATATAGTACTAAGCAAAAAGTTCTTCCTACATGGTAGAGAATTCCTTATATTGTCAATAAGGATTAAGGCACAATCAAGAAGAGATAAGAACAGTGCAAAGGGACAATACCTGCATGCCTTCCTGCCCAGATATTCCAATTCCAATGTCAGCAGCTTGAATCATGCTTACGTCATTGGCTCCATCACCTGAAACAAGAGAGACCATGAGGGGTCCAGCTTCTAAGTGCTGCTTTGCACACCAGTGAATCCTGTCAGTGTATCTCTGAATAGATTTTGGAAATCATTGTTCTAGTAACTCATCTGAGAACAAGCTTTTTTCTTTGCCCAGACAGTCCCACTTTAAAAAAAAAAAATTCAATTACTACTAACTTTTCTATGTGAGGGGGCACACACATAACAGTTATTAGGCTTCAGTTCAGACCACCTGAAAAACAACCAGGTTCAGCAAAATCATGCTTCAACACTATAAACAACTAAATACCAAAATGAAAATAGACATCAGACAACTGAATAGTAATCTATACCCATTTTAAGGTGTATAGAACCCAGTTGTATATAAACTAAAATTCAAATGTCTATGAAGAAGTCACAGGATATGGTTAAGAACCTGCATTTTCCTTTTAACATATTGGTTAATCAATATCATGTCAATTAATACCATAATGTTCTAAATTATTGATGATGTTATGTTGTGGCTTTTAATTGGGATGATACTCTGCTGGCTCTACCTTCAGACCAAGAAACCGTTGAACTTATCAGGACAATAACATGCTGGACTTTATGCTTCTTAAATACTTCTCATGAAACAATCTCCACTGAATTTGAACTGTGGTAATGCAACAAGGTGGAGCAATCCACTATGGGGGGAGGGTTTTGAGAGGGGTGGGAGGAATCCCAGTGCCTATAACACTGTGTCACGTAAGGCAATGTAATTAATAAAATAAAGGAAATTATGAAAAAAAAGTCATAAGCCTTCGAGGATACAATGGTGGTTGAGACTTGCGCAATGCTGGTATCTCACCTAAATGCCCTTTACCAATGTTATGAACTTGCTGGTGAACAAGTAGAGATTCTAAACAATTTAGACATTTACTGACGGTTATCCAGCTAGTGAACACACGCAGCAGAATTGGAACTCAGATCTTTTGAATTTCAAACCAATAGTCTTCCCTAACTCAATCTAGCTCGCCAGTATACTGAGCAGGCCATGCCAACTAGAGTGTTATGACAGGCAAACCACACAGTCAGCGGTGTCCAAGGCCAGGTACAAGGTTCCCATGCTCCATTTTGCTTCTGAATAGAGGAAACCTAGATAGACCATTTCCCCACCCAAGCTCAGCACATTCAGGACACCAGACTAAAAGCCAAGAAATCTCACACTCACTGTTGTATCTTTCCCTTACACTAAGACCATTTTTCTGTGTTAATGGAAATGCTCTCAAGCTGCACAATCAAATTAAAAAAAAAAAAAAAACCAAACAATCAACCACCAGCGCTTGCTGCTATTGGAACGTGGCTGGTGCAGTTAGTGTTAATGACTAAGTGTAAGTAACCATGTGCAGCTCTGAACATGGTTGTGTGCTATGAGATCTTCTCCAGGTCCCTCACTCTTCGCCAGAGCTTTATCTTTGAAACCAGGGTACAATGAGCTCACCTCCGTAAAGGGTCAGCCTTTGTGAGTCAACAAGCAAAATAAACCCTGCTTGTCACTACAACGCTAGCTGTCGTTTATAAAGGTTATGTTCGGAAACATAAAAAACCATTCTAAGCATCTCTTAAAAAAAATGCAGTAGGCTGTGGCCCTTGGTTTGTCAACCCCTGACACAGACCACATTGTTTTCATCCTCCTCCGGGCCCCACTTTTTTTTTTT